CCTGAATATATTTGTATATAATTGTATATATTTTCTTGTATCATTCATTAGTGTTTAATTAAAGCTGTGTAGTTTAGTTTTCAATCCAGCCAAGTCTCTCTCTTTTTCTCTCTCTCCTTCCCTACCTGGGTTGGGGGGAGGGGGAGGGGATCGAGAGCGTTGTTGTCGGACCTGAGTCAAACGGTGACACATGAGCTGTCTGGCACTGCTGCCAGGTGGTTTGACCTACTTAGAATTTGCTTTATCATATGCAGAAACAGTTCTGACTTTGTGGCATTTCTAGGTATTTGTGTGACTGGCTGATAAGGAAGAGCTCAGTATCTGACCTTTGCAGCAGGAAGAATTGCTCTTTGCCTGTTACTGCTTTGATGCCTCTTGGGCAGTGCACTTTTTAAGCTCTTAGGGATGACAGAAGTTGTTGAGGGTTTTTTGTAACTTCAGCAACGTATTCACGTAATTCAAAGCAAAGATTATTTTGATCTTTTAAAGATCTTACAGTGTGGATAAAGAATAGAGCTTTATCTCATGGTCTTGGACAACCCTGGCACGTTATTGCATAGACCCTCAGATCTGAAGCTGAAGACTGGCAGTCCTGTCAATTGCATCCTTCATTGTTTCTGTGCATAAAACCAGCTATGGATTACAAATCTCAAGAAAACACGCTGCATGTCTAGAACACAGGTAGTGATAATTAACATATTTATAGGTAGGTGCTGTTGCAGGCCAGACTTGACCTCGGTATTACTGCTGCTGTGTATTGTTTCTAGCAGCTACTTGGCCTGCATCAGGAATGGTGTGACCAGCAGGACCAGGGAGGTGATCCTGCCCCTCTACTCAGCATTGGGTGAGGCTGCACCTCCTGCACTGGGTGCAGTTTTAGGCACCACAGGATAGGAAGGACATGAAGGTGCTGGAGAGGGTGCAGAGAAGGGCAACGAGGCTGATAAAGAGTCTGGAGAACAGGTCTGATGAGCAGAGGCTGAGGGAGCTGGGGCTCTTCAGCCTGGAGAAGAGGAGGCTGAGGGGAGACCTCATTGCTCTTTACAACTATCTGAAAGAAGGTTGTGGTGAGATGGGTTTTGGCCTCTTCTACGCAGTGACCAGCGATGGAAAAAGAGGAAATAGGGTCAAGTTGCACCAGAGGAGGTTCAGGTTGGATAATAGGAAAAATGCCTTCACAGAAAAAGTGGTGAGGTCTTGGAACAGGCTGCCCAGGGAGGTGGTGGAGGCACCATCCCTGGAGGTGTTAAAAAAATGGGTGGATGTGGTGTTTTGGGAGATGGTTTAGTGGTTGGGGGTCATAGAGTGGATGGTTGGACTTGATGGTCTTGAAGGCCTTTTCCAACCTTGATGATGATTCTATGATTCTGCTGTACTTCAACTGTATGAAGACAGATTTAAAATACATGAAATGCAAGATCATTTTTTCTCCTACCAAAAGTGTATGCATTTAGTCAAGATGGGAGTATTTTTTATTCTTAAATTAACGTTTTTTCTTTGTTTTAAGGATCACTCAGGTACCCTGAAGAACAGTCTTCTCCAGGTGGATCAAAACTGTGTTCGTAACTCTTACGATGTCTTCTCTTTGCTTAGGTAAGGTTTTTGAGAATATTCTGTGTAGCTGTTGTAGCTTCTTTAGCCTTTATGGAAAAAGTCTTTCCAAATACAAACCCAAAACCTTCTGAAATGCACAAAGGAGATGTCTGGGTAGTGCTGATTTATGTGTGGTAGGAAGGAGATGGGCCTTGATGTATGTTCTTTGATGGTCTCTAGGCTTCTGCCATGGGGATGCACGAGCACTCTGAACTAGAGCTGGCTCTGGAGCTACCCATGGACTTGCCTCCTGAACGTTGAAATCACAAGCTTTGTTGGAAAGGTGGAAAGCCCCTACTCTGTTCCCTTCAGCAAAAATAAAATGGATTTAAATAAATTAGAACAATGGGGAAAAAAATCAACACGCCCAAACTTAAACTGTTAAAATGATTCTGTGGTTGGAACAAAAAGTGTGTCTGTGGGGGATTTTTGAGTTTGATTTTTTAAAAATGTTGAACCACTGAATTGAATTTACCTCTTGCATAAGGTTCCTTTGTAATCCAGAAAGAGGAACAGCACAGGCAGGACCCAGCTACTCCAGCACGTGTGGTGTAGGGGAGATGTAACTGCACTCTTGGGTGGTTACTTAGGTGTCTCTGGTAGTGAAAAAAACCAAAATACTAGTATAAAGGTAAACAAGAAGCCTTTTCCAGGTCTACTTTTCTTGTATCAACAGAAAAATGTTTGCTGTGGGGAAATATAACAGAGGTTTTGAACACTGCCAGTAGGTTTTGAGGAATTTGTATTTAAAAGACATTTTACAAGCCAGGTTGGTCACTTCAGTTCTGCAGTAATGGCAATAGATGTGCTACAAAGGAAACCCTTGAAAAAGAAATGTTTAAGATGCTTTCAAAAGCCTTTGGAAAAATGCATTGTTCTTTTTTTTTAATCAGTTATAAAAGTTGAAGCCATTTGATAGTGTCAACAGTAGGTGTCACTGTTGTCTGTGTGAAGCTGCAGCTCCGTGTTCTGCAGTGAAGGAAGTGGTTGGAAAAATTAACTCTAGGTTGCTTATTCAGAAGTCTTTCTTTTATAAGCTCCCTTTAAAACTTAAAGTGTGCTTTTTCTTGATTCTGTAAAGCATATTTAGACTAAAGGCTGCCTTCTAAATGTCTATATTCTGTATTTTTAGTGAAAAAATAACCAAGGGGCCTGTAAGGAAGTTCTGGTTATATTCCAGCACAGTCCATTAGAAGAGAACTCTTCTACTACCTGATATTAAGTCTTTGTTAAACAGAAGAAAACATGTGTTGCTCATCCTGATTGCTTTGTTCATGCATATTTTTTGTTTCCATTTGATTTGTACTTCTCTGTAGTTTGATGCACACTCCAGAAAAAACACTCACTATTGTACCAGCTGGTCATGAACCTGACTGACTGGAGCCCCTGTCTAATCTGACCTGTGGTCCTTCTTCTGAAAGTGTCTGACTTATCATCAAGCTGACAAGAAATGAGAATGTCAGCTTTGCTAAAGCTCTGCTTGCTAAATACTCACCAGTGCTGCTTTGAAACCTGATTACTGGAGCCATGTGCTTTACTCAGTCTTAGGAAGGTGAGAGTCCAGACAGTCTCTCTTACAGTTTCTGGGCATGCTGTTGGGTGTAGCTTTTGGTCAGCTCTGCCTCTGGTGCCTTTCTTTCCTTCTTGCTTTGTCCTAAAACAAACAGGTTTTTCCAGTCCTCAGCACTAGGCTTGCTGCTGATTATAATGCTGTGGATTCTACACACCCTATCAAGGACTATATGATATTGCATTGTCTAGTTCCAGCAAAAGTCAGAAGTTATAATTTGTGATCATACCTAGGTGTATTTTTGTCTTTTTCCTTCCTAGCTGTAAAAGTTCTTTGGGAACTGAGGCCAAGTCCTCCATGTAGCCCTGAATCTGTTCTGTGTTCCCTCTGACATTCACTCTGTTTTTTACAGGTACACTTTCTCTGATGCTTCTTACCTTTGAAATCTGGCTCAAAAGGCTGGTGGTAGCATTTATTTCTTTCAAAATAATGGCTCTTCTGGTCAGATGTTCTCTTTCTCCTACCAACCAGTCAGGTTTGCCATCTCCTCCTGCAGTCTGGGCTTCAGTAACTAGTCCATGAACTCTTTCCAAAGATAGTTTTCGGAGAGTATGTTGCACTTATAACCAGATGAGAGAGATGGGCATAATTTGATTTCTGATTCATCTGACAGGCCATGTACTTTGTAAGGAAATGAGTTGGTGTCTGCCTGCTTCTGTCCAATGGCTATAAAGAGAATAGGGAGGTGTCTACACAATAAAGGTTTGCATCTGGTCACATAAATCCCCCATTCTGAAGACTTTCTCAAGATAAAATACTTATCTGTAGTAAAAATTCACGAGCTGCACATGTGGTTTCTTAATGTTTTCATGAGATGTGAATATGAAGAACAGCTTGTACTGACTTTGTTTAAACTTCTCAGAAATGGAATCAAGTCCTGGTGATGCTGGTATCTGCATCTGAGTTATTCTGATGGTGCTATGCTGAAGGTAATGACACAGCCAATGTGGTCATCTCTACAATGAAGATCAATTCAGAGAGAAGGTTCTAGCTCAACCCTTAGAGTCACAGAATCCTAGAATGCCAGGTTGGAAGAGACCTCAAGGATCATCTGGTCCAACCTTTCTAGGTACTACTCTAGTACCAGTACAGGTTGGGGGCTGACCTGCTGGAGAGCAGCTCAGGGGAAAGGAAACTGGGGGTCCTGGTGGGCAGGAGGATGAGCATGACCAGCAATGTGCCCTTGTGGCCAAGAAGGCCAATGGCATCTGGGGTGGGTTAGAAAGGGGGTGGTTAGTAGGTCAGAGAGGTTCTCCTCCCCCTCTGTTCTGCCTTGGTGAGGCCACATCTGGAATGTTGTGTCCAGTTCTTGGCCCCTCAGTTCAGGAAGGACAGGGAACTGCTTGAGAGAGTCCAGGGCAGAGCCACAGAGATGCTGCAGGGAGGGGAACATCTCCCTGCTGAGGAAAGGCTGAGGGAGCTGGGTCTGTTGGGCTTGGAGAAGAGGAGACTGAGGGGCCACCTCATCCCTGGTTACAAACACGTTCAGGGCAGTGTCAGGAGGAGGGAGCCCAGAGCCCTGGGCCAGGCTACCCAGAGAGGCTGTGGAGTCTCCTTCTCTGTAGACATTCCAACCCCCCTGGCCACGTTCCTGTGTGATGTGCTCTGGGTGACCCTGCTTTGGCAGGGAGTTGGGCTGGATGGTCTTTCCAGGTCCCTTCCAACCCTTCAGTTTCTGTGATAGGAGGTGGCTCAGCACCCTGTCAAACTGAGACTTTACACTGCCCAATGTGGGGGATTCTGCCACTTCCATTGGGAGACTGTTCCAAAGTTGGGCTGTCCTCATGGGGAAAAATTGACCTCTTGTCTCCAGCGGGAATCTCCCCAGGAGCAACTTGTACCCATGACCCCTTTTCCACGGGACTCCTTGTAAACAGAGACTCTGCATCTTCCTGGCAGCCACCCTTTAAGGACTGGAACATGGTGATAAGGTCACCCTGAAGCCTTCTCTTCTCCAGACTGAACAAACTCAGTGTTCTCAGCCTCTCCTCATCTGGCAGGTCCTCCAGTCCTCTGATCATTCTTGTTGCCCTTCTCTGCACCCTCTCCAGCCTGTCCCATCCTTTTTGTAGAGCAGGGCCCAAAACTGAAGGCAATACTCCAGGTGTGGTCTGACCAGCACCCAGTAGAGCAGAATGATGACTTCTTGCTCTCTCGTGGTTATGCCCTTGGTGATGCAGCCCAGCACCCTGGTGGTTTCTTTGCCCTGCAGCTCATGTGCACTCATGGTGAGCCTGTTCTCCACCAAGATCCACAGGGCTGCTCTCCAGCCAGTTGTCTGGCAAAAGGTGATAGTAAATAGTTCCTCCTCCAACTGGCAGCTGGTCACAAGTGGGGTCCCCCAGGGTTCCTTGTTGGGCCCAATGCTGTTTAACATCTTCCTAAGTGACCAGGAAGAACTGCAAATCAAGGTCTTCTATCAGTGGTCCCCATCTGCTGTCAAAACTGCTGTTTGGGGAAGAAATTATTTCATTTTTTCACTTTTCAGAAGAGGTGAATAGCTAAAATTTATGAAGCTTGTGAATAGGCCTTAACGAGAAGCACGTACTTGGCTCTAATTATGCTGATTAAAAAAAAATAATTAATTGGAAATGCCAGAGTGTGTGAACATTAGAAACATTTTTGAATGTTGGATTAAAATAGTGCCTGTGTGCTCAGATGCTTAATTACATGGATTTACAAGTTGATTAAGCAGGAGGAAAAGTTTAAGTACCCAGACTTTACACTAGGAAGTGCCCAGCACCTCTGGAGCTTGTGAACCTTCTTGTTTTGGGGGAGGGACAAGATCCTCAGGCAAATAGAGTGGTGCTAAGAAGTTATTCCTGCCATATGGAAGTGACGAATGTGTTTCCAACTACTTCTTTTCAAAAAGGCTAACTAGCAAAAATTAAACACCCCAACTGGAAAGGTAAAATGTTGAGGTTTTTTTGTCCCTTGGCCATATTGTCAGGTTTCCTGAAAGGAGGTCACTTCAAGGCTTTCTAAATATTATGTAGGTGGTAGTAATAGGTTATATAGTAACACATTTCACCTTTCACATAACACTCAGGATGGGCCAAATACATCTGAGATCATGTTCTGGACATGTCTCCATAATCAAGCTCTCAGCATGTTTGCAGCACTAATGGGAATAGATTTATATTTAGTGTTCTTCTACTTTTCTATCCTTTCTTTCCTTTAAACTTTGAAAAATAGACCTTTCCAGTATCGAGTGGTGTTGGGAAGGTGGAATACACTGGTAGTCATCAAAGGAAGGGCTTAAAATCCTAAATGTTAAAATTTTATTTCAGTTCCTAAATACAAAAAGTAGTATCTTGTCTTTTACTGCAGCTTTTCATGGTATCCTGACATTTAAGGCACTTGGGCTGCCAGTATGTGGGTGCCTGAAATCCTCCCACATTCTGCCTGGAGCCAAAAAGTTCTCTGAGAA